ACTCTGCACTTTATTTCCTGAGGAAAACAGACAAACTGCAGCTACAGCCAGGTGATGAAACTATACAGTTGTGTAACAGGGCGAGCCCTGCAGCCTCTGCAAACTGCCACAACAAATTTTAGTGTCTTGGTTTTCCAGTTTTAATGTCGCTTCAGTGGCCTCTCTACAGTTTTGCTCTCACCAAATGTCTGCATCCACCTCCTGTGATGGCACAGATCCTTAAAATACCTGTTTAATTCGTCATTCAAAGCTGTTTCTGTGTCACTGCCAGTGTTGTCTGGATGTGCAAAAGCGAAATAAACAAATTTTCAACATTTTCTCATCACATTGTTAAAAAACACACATTTGAATTTATGTATGCCGCCAGCTGCTGCTACACCAACATATATTCTAAAATATAGACCATAAGCTTTGCACTGTAATTTTGTTATCCACAATGAATGTATCAACTCTCATGTACTAAATTTGCATGGTAATGTTGGTAAAATTGCATTTGCCCCACCCCTTTTTTGTAAAGGTGAGGCCCTTCATGCTCTGAAGCCATAAGATGAACTTTTCTCCAGCTGTAAAGAAAACAGCTCCGACTCAGTCACACAGCTGATGCTTCGTTACAGCGAGTAAAGCAAAAACACCAGGAAGGGAGTGAGCATGAAATTTAATGTCTTCATCTTCCATCATCGCCCAGTGTCACATACAGAAATTTGAAGTGACACATGTGTGTCTTTAATCAAGTCCAAACAGGCTAATGGGGCACTTCGTTACCCAGAGGACCAAGTGAGCACGAAAACACGCTAATTAAACAATGACTCATGCCATGAGTCGGAAATCGTTGACATCAGAGGACATCTTGACTAATCTTCCAGTCCACCTACACCTCCCTACAACCACACACACACACACACACACACACACACACACATATACACACACACACTTCTCTCTAATATCTGTACATCCACAAGGCAACCAATGTCATGTGTTTACGCCTGTATGTGTCTGCATGTGTGTGTGTGTGTGTGTGTGAGCTGCTTGGCAGTTGAAGGACCCAAAGGGCAGTCTCCAAAGCAGAGAGACGCAAAAGAGGGCTGAGTCACCGCTTTGGGTGTGTGTGTGCTGTGTGTGTGAGAGAGCGCGAGAGAGAGAGAGAGAGAGAGAGAGAGAGAGAGACCATTGTGTCATCCTTGTCTGTATCGCGACCCCTGGGGCTGAGTGGAAGTCTGGCATTATCATTTATGATGAGCTTGGAGGGCTCAGCTGAATGGATGATGTTACGATGAGCCCTATGTGACACTTAGTGTGTATCTGTGTGTGTGTGTGTGTGTGTGTGTGTGTGTGTGTGTGTGTGTGTCTCTCCGCCTGGTAACCAAGTCTCTCATCTCCATATAGATGGCCTGAGGGAAAGGGGATGGTTTCTACTTAAATTTGAATGCGTTTGAATGTGTATGATGTGCTGTATGATAGTGGTGCTATGAGCCACCACTATCATGGTGTCCAATCATCCACAAAAACAAAACAATGATGGCAAGACTTTCATGAAGGTTAGTGTATTTGTGTGTGTTTGTGTGTTGGTGTGTGTGTGTTTGCGTGTGTGTTTCACCAGTATAAAGATTTGCATGATGTTTGACATGAGCGGAGAGGTGATGTGTGCAGTGTGTTGCAGTGAGTCCCAGTTAATACTGCACAGCTCACTGACCGTACAGGTTTGACAGATCAGGTTACCCGTGTTCGGTTCACAATCACATCACAGATGGCTGTCTGTTTTTTTTGGGTGGCTGCTTGCCCATCTAAATACCATCCAGACTCCACCTTCTTGCTTAGGTAAGAATTTTCTGGCTACAGACGAGATAACAGTACGTAGTAAACACAGACTCCAGACAAGGAAGCACAGCTTTAGAACTGACATGACAGATGTTTAGAGCATATTTCTTAACAATCAGAAAATGTTGTCTGTGTGTGAGTTTGTCTTTGTCCTGTAGCTGTTAATTAAATTCCTTCTTTAGGACAAGTCAGCCATGTTTTAAGTCGAAAATAGTGCATCCCATTTACATATCATTTACTAAAAACTACATTGCCTAGATGTTTGGGGAGATTACTGATACTTTTTTGAAAAATTTAACTACATATTTGTGACCCAATTTCTTTTAGACATGAACACATTTGGTTGGAAGCAATGGACTTGGGTTTGACTGCCACAGGGTTGGGAAGTTGTAAATTATTGCCAGACTAACACGTGGCTGGGTTTGGTCTTCTCATGGGATTTCGACCCACAGTAAGAAAAATACAGAACAACCTGTATGACATTTGCACTTTTTAAAAGTATTTGAATGGAATATTCAAAATTAGCCCACAAGGATTTACTCAGCTGAATCGACGAGCTATGCCGTGTTGCGGGTGCTGATGTCGACAGTTTATTTTGCAGACTTCATGTTCTTGTTTATCTCGCTGTATATCTCCGTCCCTCCATCTTTCCCTGCCTCCTGCTTTATTCAGTTTCTTTCTGCCTCTCAGTCACTTCAGATAAGGAGGGATTTTCTGTTTCTCTCTCCTTCTCCGTCTCTCTGCTTTCTGCATCTCAATCACTCCCCCCCCCACATCCTTCTTGAGTGTATGTGTTTGACTGTGTCTGACTCATTCTAAATCTGGATGTGTGACCCAGAAAACTATTCATAAAGCATATTTCATCTCGCGTCTATATGGCTATGGATTTTTGTTCATATTATGGTTCTACCATCTGACACTCTTACGTCTCATAGCCTGAGCAGGTAAACAGAATCATATTAACCCTACACTTCTTTAATAAACTTCAATTCAGTTTGCATACAATTTGTTGTATATTTCAGAATATGCAAAATATGAAATCAAGATATAACTTTTGCGGGTTTCTTTGGAACGACCTCTCTCTTGCAGTGTATTCACACAAATATAAGTCACCTTTGTGGCAGCATTTGTGACTGAAGTGTTTACATCTCAACAATATCGCATTAAATTATTGGGTTTTATTTCAGTGGGAGAGGTTCAAATTCATTTTACTCCTCACGTGTGGAGGCAAGCCTCATCAGGAATAATTAGCAGTGTGTGAAAGTTGCTGTGTGTGTTTTCACAGCATCCTACCCAGGGGCGGAGCCAGACATTATAAACAGCTAGATGCACTGTTTACTGTATCAAGCCATTTGTATATAATTTGGGGAAAACATGATGGTTGCCCAATCATCCAGAGCCTGCATCATATTTTGAATCTAATTGTTTGTCTCCATCATTCTGAAACCACAACTCAACACATTTTATCAATGACTAATTTTCAGATAGATTTTTTTAGATAAGATATATAGAAAGATAGATAAGTCTAAGTCTGTCTAAGATGGCCCAAACATAATAATATGTGAAAATTGGATTACTGCATTTTCTTTGTAACTGTCTTTACTCTGCTGCACTGAAGAGCAGCAGGAGAACAGGTGTGTTAACGACGGCAGCTCGCTCACACAGGTGGCTTGAGTGTTCTTTGTTCTGTGTCCTGAGCTTTCTCTCCGTTTGCCCTTCAGCTCAGCTGGTTCCCTCTATCATTTCACTTTTGTTCCTGAGTGCGTTGAGTGAGTTTATTTCATTACATTTCCTCAAGTCATGTGGAATTTGTTTGTGTATTTGCAGATCCATTTTATATTTACAGGTCACACATTTACTCACTAATTGCCAATCTATTCACACAAATAATATTAAGACAAATCTACCTCCAGTCCATACCTTTCCCTCTTCCTCCACAAGTTTTCACTTCTCCTTCATTCTTTTCCTCCCTTTGTCTCTCACTCCTCCCTTTCTACACTCTTCTTCACTCTTCAAATTCAGACTTCCTCCTCTGTTCTTCTCTCACCTGTTCTCCACTCCTCTTCTCCTGGTTCTTCATCACATATTTTCCTCCTCTCCTCTTAATTTTAGGGTTTCACTCCTCTTCACCCATTCCTTCTTCCTCTCCTGGTCCACTCAGACCTTCATGTGAACCTGCTGTGTTTACTGTTGAAAATTTGGTGACATCTCACAACCATGTCTGACATAGATTATAGCTGATATTTGAACAATTGCAATGAGCTGTGAAAGATGACTGGACTTTCCAAAACCACAGAGGTATTGTGGGACTGTACAGTACCTCTGCTCTGTACTACTGACAGGACTGAATGTAGATGTTTAGTACTTCTGCTCTGAGGTCTGCGTGATGTCAGGTTTTATCTCAGTCAGCATGCAGACAGCTCCAAAGAGCAGGCAAACATCATCCACAATCTATATTTGATATAAAAAAGGATTTAATTAACTCTACTTTGCACAAAAATATATTGTGCAAAAGATTTGGAAACGCACTCTAAAACATATTTGCACACAGTTATAAGCATTCACACAGCCAAACAGTGACACACTACAGTCAAATACAGCTGGTTTAGAACTGCAGCTTTTCTCATTTTTCACTTTGTAAGTCAGTCGTTTTTTTTACTGTCTGACAACATATGAATTATATAAATTTACTTGATGTCACCGATGAGTTTATTTGTCCTGCAGACAGCAACTCTCCGCTTTACTTAAAAAAAACAACAAACAACAAACAAGCTCAATGTTGTCATAATCTGCAGGGCATCTGTTTCCGTCTACAGAGTAACTAGTCTGTCCTGTGTGGTGTTTACTGTGGTCGTCTCTGCAAAGAACTTACGCTTTGTTTTGGCCTTGGCTTTGTCTTCCTGGCTAAAAGCATTTTGAATGTAAATGGGGTTTTGTATTGAATACATCAATAACCTGTCTCCTTTGGTCTTTCAGTGTACAGCACACAATAGAAAAATACAAAATAGCCAAAATAAAGGTCTGAGACATCAAAATCAATAAGATGTTTTGCATTTAGTGCAGTTTTAGTATTCAAATTAACATCGTAAACACTTTTTGAATATACAGATGTACAGAAGAGGAAAAACTTGTTACAACACAAATTTGGGACATATGCTCCCATTCAACCCATATACACACTATATAAACAGTTTTTTTTTTGTTTTGTTTTTTCAATTTGAGCTTACCTGTCATGATCGTAGCCATTTGAACATTTACTTATTTGTCAGCTCACAGAATGTAAAGTAGGGGTGGAGAACACCATGTTGGAAGAGGCAGTCTGTTACTGTCAGTAGTCTTACATATTGTTCAGTATCACACAAAGTGCGGTACATCTGTAAATACAGCATGTGTGCACATTTTCATGTTAAGAACACAGTTTACTGTAAGCACAGATGCTGAGTTCACATTCACTGATGTAACTCCCTGTGCTGTTGGAAGGAAAAAAAAACATAAAAAAAACGAAGTGGTTAATTTCGTACAACAGTTCATTTCAGTACATCACAGTGCTTGATCTACATTATATGTACAGTTGAACTACAGACGATCAAAGCCGCCTATTCAATGTGCAATATGTGACAGAACTTGGGTGTATACATGCTTTACATAAGTTCTTGGTGTTCATCTCTTTTTGGTCATACATGCAAATTTACACATGTAAATTTGGAACAAAAGCTTTACAAATAACACCGTTACTCAGTTGTTTCATAACTGAGGCCAGGTAGGTTAAAAAAAGCAACTTTTGGTAGTGTCTGAGTCGCAATCATTTCAGCTGTGATTCAACTCCAGATGTAAAGGCCTTTGATAACATCAAAGGTTATGACCTCTTAAAGAACAAAGCTCAGAGTTCAGCCAGTAAGGCAGCTGGATTTTCAACATAAGAATTTTTGAAGGTTTGAGATGAAGGCATATGAATCTGTAAAAAATGTCTTTAGAAATGAGAAACCAAAGAGAAAAAGAAAAACTCTTATCCAGTTACACTTGGTTTTCGATTGGATAAGAGTGGTTTCATACTGAAAACTGCCATGTGAAATACAACTTAAAGTATGTCCTCCATCAGATGAGACAGCAGCAGGTCAATCATACAAGTCATGGGTCAAAGTTCAAAGTTCAGACCCTAGAGTGAAAAAGGTGGTGCAGAGTCTTTGTTGTGTTAACAGGACAGATGATGTGACTTTTTTAGGGCATTTCTTTGACAGTACACATTCTGGGTCAGGTCATGATTTTACAAAGTTTTTTTCTTAAAGGTGAGGATAACAGAAATGATGCTGTTTTTTTTTTGTTTTTTTTCCAGAAGATGACCAGACTAGCCTGTGCCCTTACGTCCTTGTCCAGGAAAGCTGGTGCCACCTCTCTTGCTCGGTCCTGGCAGCTTGCTCATCTTGTCCTTCAGGTCTTTAAGGCTGTACAACCTGCTGAAGCTGAAGGTAAATGGAGCCCTTCCTGCTTCCTGTCTGTGTGCTTCCCGTACTGATACTGTCTGGTTCTGGGAATGTAAGTTTGAGTTTGAGTTGAGAAAGGAGGCCTGAGGTTTTGGGATAGCATGTTGATTCTGTGATTGTCCAAATCTCGCCCTGCTCTGTGCTGCCACAGGCAGTTGAGAGAAGAGGCTCTGCTGGTTGTGGTAGACCTCGCCCTGCTTCTGCCAAGTTGCAGACCGGACAGCGCCCGCTGCCATTGGAGGGGGTGGCCTGGACGGAAGTCTCAGAAGAGATGAGGTATTATCTAAGACCTGGAAACTGTTGTGGAGCACCTTGCTTTCTGCTTGGTTCAGCTGTCGGCTTGCCCAGGCACGAGCCCCCAATGGCTGGGTGGCTGAGAGGGGTTGAGGGAGTCCGGGTGGTCGGAAAGGGGAAGACTCCCCAGACTTGGAAAGAGTATACAAAAACAAGGGAGAAGAGCAGAGCAGAGAAGAGAAGTATAATGAGGCATCAATGCATTTGACTTGCGTTAATTATACACTTCAACAAACACCATATCACTGTAGTGTGCTTGTGATTTACTGTATCTACACTACAGTGTAAAATTTGACCGCTCACAAATGCATTGCAGAGTGAAATAAAAGCTTTGTTGCAAATGGAAAAGAAAGGTTCATGGGGGCAAATGATGAAAAACTACACACCTCTGTTAATATTACATGACTGACTGAGTTAAAACATGCCACCTCAACACCTCACTGACTTGAACAGACTATTGTTAGATGAAAAGTGTAGACTCAGGCAAACAGTGAGTGAGTTGGACGTTGGACTATAAATCTTTTACAGATTCATTAATATTGCACCAGTGTGAGCATGCGTGCCGCTTCATTAAAAGTGTCACTTTAATTCACACACAGTCACCTTGTTCAATAATGAACAAATGTCGTGTGTTTCAATGTTAGTGATGCTCAGCTGGTGCATACTCAGAAGACCTAGACACACAGACAGGACAGAAATGCTAAGCTTGTACAGTGCACCTCACTCACTCACTCACTCACTCACTCACTCACTCACTCACAGACAGACAGACAGACAGATAGGTAGCTTTGTACAGTCACCGGAAACAGTGAGCCTGACTATGTCTGAAGGTGACGAAATCCCACTACCAGCAAGTTAGTGTAAAAACAATAAATTGGTTATGCGTCAGCTGGGAGTTGTCATGCAAACAGCAATGGAACAGGAAGTTACTACTCAGACTAAAAAATAGCCTGGTACAACTCATCTGTACAGATAATATTAACATTTTAATTTTCACGGCCAACAAGATGTTCTTTTCTTTACAGATGTGACACCTGATTGACACCTGAATGACCTATTACTTTTTAAACTTTTTTTTAATGAAATATTGTTGTAAAGTCACTGGTGTACCCTGAACAGAATACTGCAAAGTGTTTAAAAAATTAACAATTACAAATGATTGTGGTTAGATTGCCGTGTGTGTTGGGTTTAAAAGTTATTCTTTGTTCGATGAGGAGAATTATTTTGAATATAAGGATGAGGACATCTGCCGTCTCACTGTCATACCTTCTGTCCCTCCGTCTGTCTAGTTGACTGGGGCCTGTCTCTCCTCTCCACGCTGCTGGGTTTTGGTGCCACTTTGTCCACCACCTTGTCTTTGTCCACTTTCTCAGTGTTCTCTGGCTTAAGGTCACCAGTAGACAGTCGCTTTGCATCTGTTGCATTATTGGTGGATTCTCTCCCATTGATCAGTCTCTCTGCTGCTGATTGTTTTAGCACCTGCTTTCTTTTAGGGGCTTGGGCCTCCTTGTCTTTTTCCACCACCTCTGTTGATTCTTCAGCCTGTTTAAGATGCTCTGCTGTTCTCTTAGCCTCATCGCAGCCTCTCGTCTCCGTCCCCTCGGAATCTCTCTCTGCCAAACTCAGTTTCTTCCGACTGTCATCCTCTTCTCTCCCATTTTTTTCATTTGTGGCTTCCTTGTCCTCCCCCATTTTCACTTTCTCAAGTATAGAAGAAGAACTGGAGACTCTTGAAGACCCAGACAAACTCTGTGTTTCACCGCTAGAGGCCTTCCTGTCTGTAGTGCCTGACGTAGAAGCACAAGTGGTATTATTTATGCATGCAGGACTAGTGGTAGCGGTGGTAATGGTTGTAGCATTTGCGGTATTTGTGTGTGTGAAAGTATCATGATCCACTGTTGTCCCATGGTTGTGAAAAGTTGGGTTATGGGAAGGAGTGTCGCTACATTCATAATACTCCTCCGAGGTGGTGGAAAGAGTGGAGTCATCCTTCGATGAGATATACCCGTCGCTAACGTCGGGTGTAGGAGTTCGAAAACCTGGAGTGCATGACCGTGGGTCCGGCGTGTGCGTTCGTGAGTCTGGGGTGGGCGTGCGCGGGAGAAATCCGTCTGGGGTTGGAGTGCGTGCCAGAGCAGCGAGTGGCCGCAATTCTCGCTCAGGGGTTGGCGAACGCAGATCTGGCACGTGTGTGTCGTAGACATGTAACTGCAGGGGTCTTTCAGGTGTGTGTGAGCTTGCTCGTGCTTTGGGGGTCTGCTGGGATTCTTGAGAGGTGACAATGATGTGTGTGTTGTTTTTTGCCATATTTGGCTTGCTGTTTATGTGGTGTGCTGACGTGTGTGAGTTGGTTGTGGCAGAAACAGAAGTGTGTGTTGAAGCTTTTAAAGAGTCCACAGTTTCCGACACTAAATCAACTGGATTCGATTCGCAATCTGACATCCCCTGAGGTTCATGAGCTCTGGCATGGTATGTTTTGTGTTGTATCACATTCTCACTTTTTTCATTTGGCACACTAGCAAACTCAGAGCCTATAAGGGTTTTTTCTGAGGCCTTGGTGTCACTCTGTACTGTGGCTACACTGTCTGTCTCAGTCTTTGAGGTTATTTTGCAGTCTGTTGACGTCAAACTCTTGGGCTCAACTTCTTTTTGAATTATTTCTTGAATATTCACACTATCTGCCTTTGCTGCATCAGTAATCAAAAGATCTGATTGGGCTTGTGGTTTGGTTCCAGTGGCTGATTGCACTGCTGCTCTGTCATCATGCAGTCCAACTGTTTCCTCATGTTTTATCTCTTGGGAAGTCACATTCTGCTTTTGCTGCGGAGCTTCTTCGGGATTTTCTGTGTTCTCGCTGTCTTTTTGAGCTCCTCTTTTGCTTCCACTGTTGTTCTGCCGTTGTGGGACAGTCTCTGGGTCTTTTACTGGTGGTGTCTGCGCCGCATTCGCTAAATCAGCCTTACTGTGGACCACTAGTGGCCCCGAGCTGGCCAGGCTCTCAGGTCTCCTGACAACACTGATCTCTGGCAGCTTCTGGCCATTGCTGGTGCCGTCATCTTTGATAACCAGCTTGACAGTACGAGGTTTAGGGATGGGAGGAGTTGAAGTCAAAGAAGAGGATGTGCAGGACGGAGGCACAGAAGTGGAAATGTTAGCTGTCCTCGAGTTCACTGTGGGAAAAGGGATGTGGTTTTTTTCAGAAAGGGAGGTGGAGCTGACAGACTGAGGGTCCATGGCAGAGGCAGTGGAGGTGGGACTCTGGACTGTTTGTGGTGACAGTTTGTGGGGGTGTGAAGGCCTCCCAGTGTTGGGAGTGGAAGTCTTGCTTTTGGATTGAGAGGGCGTGTGTGCGCTGAGGTGAGGTGTAGTGTTGTGACCTGCATCTTGGTCGATGGGTGTGTCTTTCTCAGGTTCAGATTTTTGCCCAGACGCCGATAATTTCAGTTCAGGTGCCTCTCCTTTAGTTTTGATGTCACCGGGCTTTGCGCTGAGTTGTGTTGGCTGAACGCTGTCTACCACAGATTCTTCAGCCTTTGTTTTATCTTGTGTTGGCTGGAGTTTATTCATCTCCTCATGTTTAGCCGCAAGCTGTCTGGGCTTGGCGACCTCTGGCAGGGTTTCCTTAGGCCTGCTGAATGGACTGCTAAACCTGATCGCTTGGCTTGTTTCAAACATCTCAGATCGCTGCAAATGGACCTGCGTTGGTCTGTTGGCATCCCGAATGTTAATAAACCCGATTACGTCACTTGGGGGGTCAGGCTCTGGCCAGGTGGGCAGGTACGGGATCAAGCATGCCTTCTCTAAATTGGTAAGTCCAGGATGGAGGGGAGGAGCCTCCTGTATACTGTCTTTACTAACCTTCCTCCGCCTTGTCTTCTTGGTTTCTGGGACCTCTGGGCTCTTGGAGTTGACTGAATTTTGGGGCTCTTTGGAGCTGTTGTTGCCAGCAGAAGTAATCGGGCTGGGGTTGCCTGCAGCAACCAGGGCATATTTGGGGTTGTATAGTTTTCTAGCAATAGCAGCAGAAGGAGGGGCGACAGCGGCTGGCTGTGGGAGGGGCTCCGGCTCAGGTTCAGGCTCTGTGGCGACCTGCCGGAGGTCAACAGAGCTCGATGTTGCGAAAAGCAAGCGAAACAGTCGATCGAAAGCATCCACTGCCTGGCCTGTAACCACGGTGATGAGGTTTCTGTCCAGCCTTGAGGACATCCAGGTGAAACTACACAAAACACAGCAAATACAAAGTAAGACTACACCAAGACATCACAAAACAAATGCCACTTTAATGAAAATATACTGAGGCCAAATAAACTATAAACATGGGGAACTATGTATATTTGATGTGGATGTTTATAGCTTTAACTCAACCTGAAGTACAGAGCCAAAACTAAGTGTTTCACTGGCCAGTTAAGGAGAGACTGCATTGTACATGCATTTATTTCTCTTGTACACTGGATACACTTGCAACCAGTTTATCTAGTTTGTAGGGAATGCTACAGAACATTAATAGACAGTGCATTCTTTATTCATATCTGTCCACCCCATGCTCATAGAACCAAAGACAGGTGGAGCACACAGAGATAATCTGTTTCTTTCGGTCACTTTACCTCTTTCTCACACCCTCATGCACAAACACATGCACATGCACACACACATAAAGTACACTGACCTGTATGAACCAGACACAGTTTTGTCTCCATCAATGAACATAAATCTGTGCCCCAGTTTCCCTTTGACCTTGGTGCATGACCGAGTGACGAACTCTGCTCCGTCTGTGCAGCGGACACGAAGGTGCTGTAACATACACACATAGACAAAGGGTATAATTGTCATACCTCCTCCACATTCAGAACTACAGTGCCTAATCTGTGACCTGTGTAATGTAAGTGGTTACTTCATCTTCATCATAACATTGTGGCATTCTAGTTTTTAATTCAAGAGGGAAATTAACTGAGAATTACAATCACAACAAATACTCATAACATCAAGCATACAAAGATGAAAACAAATATTATTTTTATGATTTTATGAGTTGATCTTATCTTACACTTTATTGACAATTGAATAAAAGGTTGCAATAATTCAATTTACTTGTGGCTGCTCCTCCATAAGACTAGTGATAACATACTCACAATAACAGGTTGGGTAGACAGATACCACTTAGGACAGAACTATGCGTATAAACTTAGGGTACATCTATCTGCATTAAATTTAAATTAGTTTAAACTTTTTAATATAATCCCTACAGCCATACAGAGGTAGTAGCAACAGTAATTTTTCACTTGCCGCACTTAATTTAAGCAAATTGCCTCACATTTTCAAACTGCTGAACAATTACACATACCAGATCCAGTGTAAATACTGTGGTTAAATCTTGCACAACCAACATGTTAAATGCCATGAATTCTGAATCTTAATCCCTGTCTTGTCATCATTCTCGTAGATTTTCTTGACCAACTTTTTTGGTCTTTGTTGGAACTTGCACAGCAGGCAGAGTGTAAAAATATACTTATCTCATGCTTCCCCCAGAATCAACACTGGTGTCCCACAGGGGTCAGTTCTTAGTCCACTTACGCTTTCAGCATTTGAATACAAAGAAAACTGAACTGTTGACGAATGTAGGTTGCTTTTTGAGAATATTTACATAGACCTTAATGGCTGCCCAATGCCACAATCACAAAGTTAAGAATTTAGACATAGTATTTGATCGTGTATCCTCTATTGTTTGAATGTTGTTTTAGGGTATTTGCTCACCAAGCCTTTGTACTGCTGTATGGCTGTAAAGCAATATAAGTGATATATCAGTAATATCAGAGAGTGGATGTGCTAACATTCATGATAATAACTGGGTGGTACAGTGTATAGTTTTGTAGTCATAAAAAACCTTAACAACATATCAGATAAGATATAAATATTACACATGAAAGGTAGCTCCAGATAAAAACTTTTTCAAGTTGTCTTGTCATTTCTTTGTTACTTCCTGAATGTCTTAAGGACAACTCAGAAGTAAGTGTGGAAGACAATATATGTTAATAATAAATCTCAAGAATATAAAAGCTACATCCAAGTTCAGCAGCTGGCTCCTCCAACATTCCTCGATGGAATATGTCATTATGGGCCAAAAATATTCATATTCTTATTCAAAGGCTCTTCCACTTGCATCAGAAATATGCAGCTATCTATTCATAATTTCATTTCTGGAGGACATGACGAGTGTATCCATTGTGGCGTTCAGTATCACATAATCCATTGCTTGTCCACAATTGTTAAATTAAACTTAGAAGTAAACTGGAAATGTCATGATCAAATTGTGTTACAAGGTATTTGGTTCATGTTTGTCATTGTCACTGGTACTTACATCAGCCCTGCAATGTGTAAATAGAATAAAAACCAGGTCTAAACTCCACTATTTATTCTCATTAGAAACCTGAGTATGTTGGCAGTCACAGGCTGGCCATTACCCTGGTATACTGTTTGCCAGTGGACAAGCTGTTTTTCAACCGTATGAGGTATCTTTTTCTAGTGATAAACAATAAGATTCTTACTCACTGATTTGCCCTGGGGCCACCTGAACACACCACTATTTTTGGTTGTTTTAAGTTTAGACTTAGACTATCTAATTTGGGGAGGAGCACAGGTTCAGCCTGGCTTTTAGTTCCTTTGAAAGATGCCACTTCATGTGCTAGGTCTCTCTGAGGGGACAGGCCCTGAACTGATGCAGCCAAAACATGATATAACCAGTTGTCTTGATGCAGTAGATAATTCCTGGTATGGAATCTTTTAAGAAACACTTGTTTTTCTCCCTCCTTCACGCTCACTCTTGAGTTTCTCCTTCCCTCAGTACATTCCTTTGGCTAACTGATTAGATAAAATCAGCAAATTGCATTTCTGCGTGTGCATTCAGTTACAAGATGTGGATGATGAACACTTAAGCTGTCATACAAAGAATTTCATGTGAAAATACACCCAGTGAATGAGCTTTCGTCACAAAGTATACTCTAACGTCAACTTCTCGACCAACTGAGGCAATGTGGATTTTTTGAAAATACTTGGTTGAAGGGTCACTGTAACATAGGTGTAACATATTCAGAAACCTCCTCAGACAACTGAAGAGTAAGAAGAATCTAGCACCTCTTTGCCTACATCAACTCCTCCAATCCTATCCATCCACTCTTCCACCTACTCCTTCTCGTCACTGACAGCGTACAGCAAAAACTCAGACTGTCCTCAAGCTGTCACACCTGTCCTCTCCTTTCCCTGCCAGTCAACCTCAATTTTGCATTATAGCTGCTCATCACTGTTAGCCATCATACTGCAATCAAATTTTCTGGAGGACCATTTACAACATAGATGATTGTACGCCTTTCTTTGGCAGAATAGGCTCGACTCCACAGGCTGCTCCACATTGAATCATACAAATCACAATAAATCCTTCCAGTGTTTTAAAGGGTGGACCCCAGCACACACACACTATATATATATATATATATATATAGAAAATCAGGCACCCGTCACAATTAATGGCCTGCTGAATACCTGACATGAGCAGTCAGTTTGAGTTAGGATAACAATCGCTTTGCATGTACTTCTGCAGAACTTCTCCGGTGCGTCATGCCTGAGTGGTACACCTGTGCTGGTGGAACACTGAAAAATGTGAACTGAAATTCAGCTCAAACCTTCCTGTAATAACAGATCCATCCATCAAAAACCAATAAAGAAAGCTGTGACACAGGATGTATGTTCTGCTATCAAATATCTGACTATTTTTAAATGGATTGTAACTTCAGGCTAAGTTGGGACTGTGCAACTGTATTGCTGTGGGCAGGTTTGCACATGGTATGGGCAGAAGAAACTTGCTTTACTGAGAATGTCAGCCATCCTTCCCTTGTCATATGTAAGTGTCATATCAACATATGTTTATATTTATGAAGCACAAACTGCCACATCGGACATGATGCTTTTTCTGCTGTTTTGCTTATAAGCCAGATCCAGATGGCACTGAAAGTCTGTCAGGCTGTTACTGTCTTTGTGTTTCACTTTAGTTACTCCAAGGCATTTAAACTACAGAGTTTGGTGTGTGTGTGTGTGTGTGTGTGTGTGTGTGTGTGTGTGTGTGTGTGTGTGTGTGTGTGTGTGTGTGTGTGTGTGTGTGTGTTACATTAAAGTCTGTGTGCCTATTCCTTTATATCCCCACAATTCGTATGTGTGTGTGTCAATGGGTCGGTCACCACACGTATGCAGGTTTGCGCACACACCCCCGTGGAAATAACCTGTGCTGCTATATGTATATCTATTAACATCTCTTAAGATCTACTACATATGGCTTTTTGCATCTTCAGTGCCTCACTTCTGCCTGACAAATACTGATGTAAAGCAGTGTATACTCAAAAGTAAACAGCACTTTCAACATAATTAGTCAAGCACCTTGGGAGCCTCTAATGTATGTAAGATTTTCTTCCTCTCTCTAGAGGAAGGAGGACAAGCACTGAAGCAAAGCAAGCAATTAAAAAGCCTGACTTACACCTACTAAACACTGAGATACTAACCATAACACCTTTAAACATATCATCTGCTGTTCTTGGGAAATAATGACACCTCACCAGAGATGTTTGTATTGGCTGACTTGAGTTAAAACAATTATGTTTGGTGGCTTGGCAGCTTGATGAAAAGATTAATGTCTTTAGAATCCATTTCACCGAAAACAATGTTGTATTTTCATGTCCCAACATGACCAAATTCTGTTTAATATATCATGTGTTTTTCCTGATAACTGGCCAATTATGGAGTAGAACACTCGAGACAGACACAACGAGACAAAAGACTCATCTATTGTACTGTAACAGCTGGTAGGGTTTGCTTGTTGTTGTTGTTTGAAACCGTGTGTGTGTGTGTGTGTGTGTGTGTGTGTGTGTGTGTGTGTGTGTGTGTGTGAGTGTGTGTGAGTGTGTGAGTGAGAGAGAGAGAGAGAGTGTGTGTGAGAGAGAGAGAGGCATAGATAAGTGAAAGCACATGCCATCTCTTTTGCGTCAATTGCATATCTTTCTTTCACAAGATAATTTGTACTTATTGTGTTCTGCGTCAGTAGTTCACAGATGTATTTCAGTCTCAAACTGACATGATTGTTTCTGTTTTGCACAAAAACTTTTAAGTCACATTTAATCTCCCTATGTTTCCAAACACCTGGGAATTCCCCCCGCTGGTCAAATATTCGCTCTCCATCAGTGAAATATTTACTCTCTACTATAAAGGAACAAAAACAAATTTAACCTTAAGGAACTGATTATGAACTTTTTTTTTCGACAGCTCTTTATTTAGGTTAACATGACCTATTGTTTCCCAGGTGGAACCTACAAATGGTGATATTGGTTGGTCAGTCTAACTAAAAGTGTGGTCAACAGCAAACTGATGTGGTCCCTCGTACAAAGGAAGCATAAGAATCTAATTGGAAAATTATTGTATAATTTACTGACCATATACTGACTCAAAGATGATGAGGGTTTTTATTTTTGACTTGTTTTAGCTTAGACTTGTTACTAAATGCTTAACATCAACTCGCTATGCAAAAATGATTGAGGGGGTGATGCTGGCTCACCTTAAGGTGTCCGGGGTGCATGTTGGCCCTCTGACACATGGACAGGAAATGAGGTAGTGTTGTGCGTTCCAACAGGATGTAGACAGAAACCCTCCTCTTGAAACCCGCATCTAGCAAATCTCTGAAGATGTCAACATCAGTGAAGACATCCATCACCACTGCTATCACCTGGAGACACACACGCACAGAAACACAAAATATAGTTCACTCACATGGGAAATACAGATATAGATGCACACAAATATGCAAATTAATGAATATATGAACACACAGCCGCTACAGCCCTGAAGTCAACGTGACTATATCTGTACATGCAAACATACAGTGTTGACTCTCTTCCGGCAAAATAAATAAGGTTTAAGTTGTTCCACAGGTTTGAGTAAGATATGATCGCACAAGTTTTTCTGTGCCAAAGAAAACTCAGACAATAATTATGGGCAGTTATGAGTGTTTCTCCGGCTCTCCTCTTGTATGACCCATACAACTTTTTTTCTGTCAGAAGCTCTCTAGGAAAAATGGCCCATAGGATATTTCAATGAAATAACACATGCCACTGATAAAAGCTGCTCTGAAATAAAACATGTCATAAACTTGTGCCTTAAGATGAATCAGCTGCATGAACACACACAGGCACACACTCATGCACATGCACCCTGGCAGTAATGCTCATGCAAATATCCAGCATAATGCTCCCATGTTGCTGGGACAGTTACAGTGTATGGTGCTTCTTCCAGTCCCTGATAACGCAGGTTGCACTTTACTCTTGATTGTCTTATTTGGTCTGCAGGCTGTACTATGACCTCATACTGAGAGCCATGGCTGTTCATGGTAACACCGCGTCAACATTACAGGAAATCTTTAGAATGGTTACAGGTCACAAAAATAAGCAGCTCATAAATCTTAAATAGAGTATTTCAAAAGCTATAGGTTTTTTTTTTTTGTTGTTTTTTTTTCAATGATTGGAAAACAATGTCCCAGACAAGTATACAGCCTTGAAAGGGAACTTGAGCAAGAGTTGCATGGGCTTACACTATGAAAGGATAAGACGGCTTGTTTGAGATACAACACGAGAACCAAAGAGCAGAGGAACAGCACAGAAACATAGATGTACAAATATTCAACAAGCAGACATTGCTAAATAGAGATGAATATTTCATTATAAAGCCAGCAAATAAGGCAAAACTACCTCAACTGATTTGACTGTAGCCTACTTATAAATAGTCATTAGTTTTGTGCGTTTAAATGCTTATGCGGAAAGTGCAGAGAGTAAAATGTAGGATGTAGCCTAGTAAACTGACCGGGCATTGCTAGTACCAGAAGCCCAACATACCTTCTGCGCCTGCGCAATCATTTTTCTAACAATCTCTTTGATGTGTGCTTGACCATCCAGCGGTGGCTGAGTGTAAACGGTAGTGCGCGTCACCCCCCGGTAAGCATCGCAGTCCGGCCAGCCCAGGTCCATCTGGGGTATAGATGTGTCCGACAGTTCGGGCCAGTAATGCAGTGACAGCGGGGGCTCGTCATCCTCTGCATTCCCAGGGAAGAGCTCCGAACCCGGGTCATAAGGTTCCAACGCCTTGGCAAGAGTGTCCAGCTCCGGGTCTGAGAGGAAACCCCGTAGGCCGCGGTCATGCAGGCACTTGAGGAACGCCTCGCGACCGTCCTGGAGGAGAGCCTCCAGTGCGAGCCGCTGGTCTTCGCAGTAGAGAAACTCCGGTTTGGACTCGTGAGTTCTCGGATTCACATGGTTATCGTCAAGGCACTGTATCTGGGACAGAGCCATGTTTGCAGCCCAAAACACTGAACAAGAAACAACACCAAAACTTTAAAAATCCACCAAATCTCACGAGTCGATTCTCCTCCTAAACTTCTCCAGACTTTGGGTGACGAAAGCTGCATTAAAGCTGCAGAAGTTTGCCTCGAGACTTTGGTGCACAGTATTTAATGTAGTCCCCAGCTGAGGTCAACCTTCAAATTCCTGTGACCGGCCATGGTGCATTAACACAGCCACTGTCATCCCGTCGAACGGCCGGGGAGAGAGAGAGATAATGTGAGTTTGAGTGACAACACGCCGGCGGAACCGCCCGACAGGTGTGACCTGACAGACAAAACACACCCACCCACATATATACAGAAACATGCACACCTTTGTCATGTGACCTGTAGGGCTTTCCAACAGCTCTCTCTGTGTTTGTGTGTGTGCTCTGGAGCGAGACCTAGAGAAAGAAGTATACTTGTTTTTTCTAGTTTGACCAGAGAAATGATTTGAAGCCACCCCTCGCTTTTCTAAACCTCATTAAATAATTAGCCTGTCAGTTCCCCATACACATGAAACATCATCTGATAACCATCAGTCGATCTTGCATTATAACCTGAGTGGTGCTGTTTTACCTGTTCTGGCATGTGTCTTAACCGCCCTGCCAGGATGGGAGAGCCCTGGCCTGTGTTTTGAAAAGAAAAAATTAAGCCCATAATTACTTTAAACAAAAGCAAACATAAGATGGAGAGATCAGGATGAGATTAATGTCTAAAAACATTAACTGTAATGAATACACTGTTCAGTTTTTGAAAAAAAATCACAAGAGAGTTCAGTATTTTGTGTCTTGAACCACATTCACCTACCCAGGTGATCATGACTCTGAACATCAAAACAATAGTTTTAATACTAGTTTGATGTTCTTAGTAGTAATTATTGAGGATCATGTCATTTATCTCATATTACGTAAGAGCTCCAACTAAATATCCTTCCCTGGTAATACTAATGAGTTAATCACTGTTAAATGTATGCATCACTGAACAGTGTAAGCCAAAGAAACAAATCTCAAACACATAGCCACTAGGCTGACATGTTTAGAAAACTTTAAATTACGTCACAGTTAACTTGATTATCAGTAGATAACAGTCACATGAGGCAGCCTGGTTTGATCTCTGAAGTCGTTTGTGATGTAATGACATGTCATTAGCTACTCTACGAGACGGTGGGAGAAAAAGCGATTACATTGATGCCTGAAGGTTGACATATGCAGTATGGATGCACAGTAGCATGGTGCTCACTGTGAGGTATTCATTAGTCAGTATGTCTACATGAACATAAATTATTCATTTGCTGTGATTGCTCAGCATGTGTTGTAGCCCACAGGCTAACAGGAAAAAGAAAAACAGGAACGTGGCTAAATGTTTGTCACACTGACGAAGTAACAGAACATAATACTTCAAACTGATTTTGTTGGCATGGAAAGTTACAGATTTTATGTTTTCACACTGATAAGGCATATTAAAATGAAAGGATAGGTTCACCCAGTTTTAACCAAATAATTACATTGCAATTCTCAGTTTTGTGTGAAGAAACACCTTCTTGTTTAGGTTAGCACCAGGAACTTGGGCAGATGTTTTTATACAGTCTATTATTCAGTCTGAAAGCAGCATTGTAAGTAACAGGCTTAACTGCCATAAAAGTTGAAACCTGCACCACTTTTGCTGCAACACAATGCAGCATCATCTGGCAATGAAATACTCGCAAGTGCGCATTCCCAGTAGATTAAAATGCATTGGATAAGCCTTCCAAACTCATGGATAGATTTCTCAAACTGGACTCCTAGATTGTTTTTCATAACACTCTCTCAGGTACCTAAAGCAACATTTTTTTTTTTTAACATACTTAAAAAAATAAAAATGCTTGCTTACAGAGATTCATTTACGATGTATTACCACTTCTCAAGTGATGTGACACCACCTCTGCAGACCTGCAGGCTATAGTGGCTGGACTGTGGAGGATGGTGGGAAGTGATAGTGCTTGGCTTTGGCTTCTTGAGGGCAGCATTACCCTTAAATATTTCCAATTTTGACTCCGTCTGGCTGTGACTGCACATCACATGTTTTGTAACTCTCTGAGCCTCAAGCTGGTATCTTGCTGCCTCGTCCACTGGCCATCTCACCTTTTGATCTGTTTACTTGCTGATTGCCAGTATGTGACTAATTATCTAATGAACTCTTCTTCTGGTTTAAAGAGTGTTTGACCGGTTTGCAGGTCAGTTGTGGTTATTGCTCCTTCCACTGTCAGGGGTTAAACAGCCAGTAGCTATCACAGGGGTTAAACAGCCAGCGGCTATCAATCAGTCAGACTGTTTCAACAGTTTTGTTGTATTTGCTTCTAACGCCTGTGAATATCACTGATGTCACAGCGCACACACCTTCCCCTGCCGCTTGCTCTTTTACTGTCACTCTCATTCATACAGTTGACACATTGCTTCCTCACCTTGCCTTTCCATCTTTCATCAGTATTCTGTTTCCTCGTTGTCTCGTCTCTCTCCTCTCCACATTTTTTTTTATTCTCCAGCCTGTCTCATTTCGCTGCTGTCTCACCACTCGACTTCAGTTTTCCTCCTGTTTGTCTCTGTCTACCTCACTTCCCTGCTCTCATCGGTTACTTTGAACTGAGAGATTTGCTTTGCGACAGTGTGTCGGTGACGTTTAGTATTCTTATGCTGTCTCACATTTCTAGTGTATGACACAAATATGCCATCATAAATGTGTCAGTCTGTCTCACACATACATACCACAGCCCTTTATCTACAGCGCACACACTTCAAAGTGACTATGCAGTTTAAAAAAAAAAAGAACAGAAAACGGCAGTACTATTTCTGGTTACACCTTTAACTCCTTTCTTCCTCTTCTCCTCTGCTGGATGCCCGTTGGGTATTGACTAACTGTCATTGACAAGCCAGAGGTGACTCTGTCAAGAGGAATGAAAAAAGTGGGTTATTAGAAAAACACTAAACAAGCGGAGACAAAAGAAAGAAAAGAAGTGATTCATAAGAGAGGAATTATAGGATGTAACCCTGTTTCCTGCTTTATCTCAAAGATTTCATCCTAGTGAGAGACGTAGCATTTCTCACATAGCACCAGTCAGCTGTCAGAGCACACTGTTCTACATCCTTAATGACATACAGTACATTGAGTGTGTGTGTGTGTGTGTGTGTCTGTCATCAGTTCTCAGTTCTCAGTTCTTATCAAGTGCTGCTCAGTCTCAGACATATAAATGCACTCAGACCTAATATTATGTTGACAACAAGAATTAAATGACAATGGGATTTTCCTTGGCATCTACAGTTTATCATGGGATACTTAAATTTAGTATTTCCTTTCACACACTAATTATAATTTCATTACCATTTACGTCATCAGTCAAACTCTTATTATCATTATTGTATGTATACAGCGGTTCCCAACCTGCGGTCCACGTAGGTATTCCAAAGTGGGCCAAAAAATCATTTGCAAAAAAGTACAATTTTGGTGAAAGGATGTAATTATTAAAAAAGTATAAATAATGTTTTTAAATGTTTTAAAACAAAATGGTCTTTAAAAACATTAAAATGTTTTTTCTCTGTGTCAAATATCATGGCAAATGCCAAGTAATCGCAATATACACTTGAAATTAAGTGGCATTTTGTGCATGAAATTTCATCCTGTGACATTAAATGGTTGGCATGGCATAAAGTGTGTCACAAAGCTTACGGCAAACTGCATCAACAAAGAGGAACAGTGATCACAATTTAAAAGTGCAGGAATATGGTGGACATACTGTACAGGTGGCTACAGAATTATAGCAATATGTCATGGTATTTTGTGTGGCATTCTTGTTTTTATTATATTTCAATACACAGAAATTATTGAACAATAGTGCCCAAACTTCAAGTTCAAAGAGGTATATGTATCACTTTATTTAAATGATTTGTCATTACAGATTAAGGAAGACCGGTCCTAGTTCTCGCTGTCGATCAGATAAGATGTGGTTCTTAAAATATTTGTTGCAACAGAAACAAAGGCTTTATACAATGTTTCATCTTACTTGTAATATATGTATTCTATGATTACACATGAATAAGAATAAATACATAGGAACAAACAAATGATCCATAAATTTCGTTGAGCGTATTACATTTTAAGCTATGTACTGTAATATAAAACAAGGTGGCCTCTGGGCAGTGTGCATTCTCACTGGTCACTGTAACACAGCAACCTCCTTTACTGGTCCACAGAGCACAGGGTTGTACACACACACACACACACAGACACACGCATATATATACACACACACACACAAACATCCATTCCCATTGTCACATACTAAACATACACATAAAGTTTGCAGATATACATGTGTTCAGACGCACATTTTACACACAAATCCCTCCACACACACTCCAAACTACACCAGCCCAGTGAGAGAGAGGAATCTGCTGTGTCAGTATCCACTGAGTGGCCCAAATATTCACAACACAATGACTCTGTGTCTCTCTGCTCAGCTCACCGGATCTCCTCGTGGGAACGGCTGCAAAATACTGGAGCAAATCCTGACTCATCTGCATCGGAGAAAAAACCCTGCCCTTCCTCTACAAGCTCCCATGGGCCACACACTCTTCATTTTTTTTCAACAGGTTAGTGTGTGTATGTCTGTGTGTGTGTTCTTATTTAGCCTGCACCAGTGCTGATAAGCTGTAATAAGTAATTGTGCCCAGGGGTAAGTGTGTGTGTAAGTTAGTCTGTGTGTATAATGTGTGAGTTCTCCACAGTGTTCAGGTCCATATCTGGATTTTTTTTAATTTTTTTTTTAACTTGATTAAAGTGAGGTGGAGTTGTGGAATCAGGTGGAAGCAGTTGATGAGCCTGTAGCAGCTGATTGGGCGAGGCTTATGATTGACATGTGATGTCACAGGGAAAATGGGAGGAGTCAGTAACATATGAGCAGTTCAACGGCAGCTCGTCAGTCATCTGCTCCAGAAATTAATGGGCAAGTGCAGAGCAGGGGAGCAGTGCGAGGGGTGGGGTCAAGACGGCCTGCTGAAGGACCTGGCTCTGTGTTTGATTGACACGTCAGGTCACTGGCAGTGGTAAATAGGCTGGACATACTCCGGTGGGAAGTAGCCCACGTGCCCATGGCAGCGGCCCCTCCAGCGCAGTGAATCGGAGCAGTCAATGAGTTCGATGACGTCACCACGCAGGAAACGTAGCTGGGAAGGGTGGTGAGGGTTGCAGTCAAAGAGAGCGTGTGCATGATGGGGACGCTGTGGAAGAGAGGAAGTAAAATAGGGAGCGAGGGGTTGGAGGGAGGGAACAAAAGAGAAGAGAAAAGTTAATAACTGAAATTCTGGAAGTAGATCTCTATAAACTAGTCTATACACTATACACTAGTTTTCATCATTAGCAGCGAGTCAGCCATTCCCATTCTCCCAACGCTGTATCAGAGCTCTGTTAAATTACATAGTAACGCAAATCCAACATTTCCTGCTGCTCTTTCGCATTAAAAGCTTTCAACTAGCTAAACACTGTGATGCAGTCACAAGAAATGGAAATGTGTTTGTCCTTGAGGTTACTGCTGACTGCAGTCATTTATAAAAATCGTTCACAATACAAGACTTCATAATTTACAGCCTTTCGGTTTAAAATATTGACAGGATGTACACCTCCAACCGCAAATTTATTCTGACATTTTGTCGTACGTAAATCTGCTCATGTCATGTGCATCACAACATCACATGGTGGTTGCCCGTGCCATGATGGAAAAGGTCCAACTATTGAACAACATCTTTAAACATAGTTTGCTTGGCTGTACTTTACAGATGCATGCTTTGCATTTCTGACAAAGTAGCTGTAAGTTTTTTTTTTATGACTGATTTATTGCATATTTTTTTTAATTTAAACAAGCAATTATGGTTTTCTGTGTCAAAGTATACATTTTGTAATTTTTTCCTCCATCTCTTACTCATCTGACTCATCCTTATTATGATTTTTAAGTCTTGAGAGTTTTGAGTTTCTCTTCAAAGAGAAAAATACTTCTCTACTCTAGAATTAACAAAACACATCTTTAACTTTACTTAAGCAATATTTAATATTTAAGTTACTAAAATACTTATACTTATTTGACTGTAATACTCTTATACATAATACGTAGTTGTTCACAGATACAGATCTTTCAACATGGATTAAAAATAAGAATTCCAAGTCTTTCAAAAGCCCTCTGTCTTGAATTGCTAGGTCTTCTGTTGGTTTGGAAAATTCCCCTTTGAGTGAAAAATTCATGATAGTCGATACAGTTGTTTGCAAGCTCCTGAAATGTTTGAGAGGTTTTCTCTCATGATACAGTCGGTGAATTTTTAAATGGAGTGTTTTGTGGGAGCATTGCTATTTTTTTTTTTGCTTCTATGGCTGCATTACAACGAAACAAAAAAGATTTTTACACCACCACATGGAATAAGAATTCCCAGGTATGTGCTCCGAAGAGCTCGGGTCTGATTTTGTGTGGTTGCAAAAGCAGCATGTGTATTCAAGTTTCTTTAAAGAACAAAAATATTTTATTTATCATTTTCATTCACATAATCTAATAATCTAGTGTGGGAGTCTCTGACCAAGACAGCAGCAACAGCAGACAAAATATAGACATGAGACTATATATGAATACTCAGTGATGACCAGTAATATTTTCTGCCGAGTTATAAACATCATGGCTGCTGCGTCTGTGTGGTGGGTGAACAAGGTCTGCACACACTGCCAACTGAACAGGTTTTAAAGATTGACATGACCAGGTGACAGCTAGGTTATAAACCGTATAGTTCTGATAGAAGATGACAGATTTCATGCAGATGAGAGAGAAATGGCCTCTTTGGATTCATTGTTTTAATATTTTAACAATGTACGGACGGACAACCCAAAAACATAACGCCTGTGGCCCTGGCTGTCGCCGGCGCAGAGGCATAAAAACACAAAGAAACGTGTTTGAATACGTGACATACTGACACACGGACAAGACAGTGAGAGGCAGACAGAGGTGATGAGGTGGACAGTTCAAATATACACCTGTAAAGCTACATTTCTCTACTTCCACTCCTACCTGGCAACAGAAGTTTATATTGTTTAAACATGGCAAATCCCAATAAGGGAAGGTATTTTAGATTGCAGCTGCACTTTAATAAGGTGTGTATTTCCTCAAAACCTCACCATGTACAACTTCATGAAACATGAAAATCACGCCACACAGCTCCTGTCCTCATAAACATTGTTCATTATTGACTACACCTGGGTTTCATCAGAGCACAGCTTTAAACAGAATAAATAACAAAATGGTAATTTACAGAAAAACATAAGAAACAAAAGCAGAAATGGAGTAAGACACAGACAGGAAGACAGAGTCCAGAATGATGTGTGTGAGTGCGTGATAAGATTACACATCTATACACACGCACCTACTAAAAACAACTCTGTTTAAACTGCAAGGCAAGGTGAGCTGCTTTCAATTCAGCCAGCAGACGATGTGCTTTCACCGTCTCACTGTGTTTTTCTTTGAGATCACAAAAAGTAGTGTTTTTCTTCTCCCCTGATAGTCGGCCCCCTCTGATCTCCGTTGACTGGAGAAGTAAAAGCAGTTTAAGAGTAGCAGAATAAAAGCAGCTATTTTAAGGAGAGTACCTTGAACTTAACTAACCTCTTAGCTGTCAGTTGCACTCCCACAGAGAAACGTGGATGTGATATGAACAGGGAGGGAACAGAGAGACTGGAGAGAATGCCTTATGTGTGTGATGGGTATCTGTGTGTTGTAATTCTTCATTTCTGTGGAGTGCTTTGTTTTAGACCAAGGTCCAGGGTAATGGCATCCAGGCAGAGGCAGACACACGCACGTACGCACGCAAGCATGCACGCACGCACGCACACACACACACACACACACACACACACACACACACACACACACAAACAAATACACTCACAAAGCACACAGCAGGATTAGGATCAAGAGACCGAGACACAATCTATCAGTCCCACAAATATATAAAATCCTCATGGTGTTATCCTTTATTGTTCCAGTGTTCTAGTCTAGACTTCTAGCTTGTGGGTGCATGCACGTACGCCGCACAAGTGTTTGGGTGTGGGAGAGAGCAAGTATGTGCAGGCCTCTGTGCAGTCAGGTGTGAGTTTGTATGTGCAACCTGTGACTTTTGTGCATGTGTGGTTGTGTGTGTGAAACAGCACAGGAAGAACCCATTCATTCATTATTTCTGTGCCCGCTTGTGAGGAGCAGCAGTTTGGAAGGAGAAATATGGTCGCTCTATATCAGCTGCACTCGGCCGCCCTGTGATCAGTGTCCTCTCCAGCGCTCGCTCCAACCCAGAGAGAGAGCCGACAGCGGAACAAATTACTCCATAACATCAATGGACTACAGCTTTGTACTAGATTTGTCTCTGCACACACACACACACACACACACACACAACACACACACACACACACAGGGCTTTTAAATCAGAAAAAAAACTGCCTCTGACACTCCTTGTGTTTCCACTTGAAAATGACAAGTTGTCAAAAAGAGGGCAAAGTTTTGCATGAACAAGCTTTGTGTTTGAAGAATAAGCTTAGAGACACAAGGATATAGGGGATATGCTGGTGGGAGAATTGGAAAAAAAAAAAAAAGACTGAGAATTATTTCCATTCCTGCCATAGTGAGATAACAAATGATCTAGGGCCATGTAATGAGCTGATGTGGAATTACTTTGGAAAAGACTAACCGCACAATGGGAGGGACAACACAAAAAGCACTGGAACATGATTCATAGATTAACCCAGTCCTCGACAGACTCTGTGTCTGCGATGTGGTGGTGTCAGAAACGGTGAGAAAGACGAGTCGAACAGGGAGTAATCAGCCGAAGACAGCGTTTCCATGAATCATTTACAGTACGTTGGTTGAAGTTAAAATTACTGTTCATTCAATTAATTATCTACAGGTCTAAAGGGAGCAATGAAAGGAGTAGTTTTTCTTTGTGTTATTGTGCTTTTAGAGTCACAGCTTAAAGCTTGCAATGGTATGTTGGTAACTGAAGAGCGAGTATCTACTATTAATATTTAATATTCTTACTATATATATTTGACAGAGAGCATACACAATGAGAACACAAAGGCATGGAAGAGAACTGCTAAATGAACTGGAAGAATATTAGGTCTAGTATCATGTACAAGGATAGAAAAAAGGTTTACTGCGAATACCAATGGAGTTGTTTTGTTTTCTCTCTGACATCACCATTTCTGTAAGTGGCCCCTTGATAAAGCCTTAGTTGTAAGGGTGTGTGGAGACATACCGAGTGAAATACGTGCAGCGGGCATTGGAGCGTTGTTGATGCTGAAGGCCAGGACGAAGCCGCACAGATACAAAGACCAGCTGATGGCCACTTTTAAAAAAGGGCCAGTTGCGATCTAAACTAAATTAAATGTTTTGACTGTGTTTTAATCTGCGGACCTGGCTACAGCACAACAAGGATCACTGATTTGTTGGATTACAGATGACTGTACAGATAAGATCAATGCAGAAAAGTTAAGATAGAGTTTATATGATCTTGTCTCCCCATTCTACTAAAGCTGAAGATCAAAATCAATTAATTAATAGATAAAGAATTAAAACGATTCTTTTGTGGAAATAAATTCAGGGACTTTTTCGACATTTGAAATGATTGGATTCTGAGATGAGTCCAAAATACTGTCTAAATTCCTCGCACAAGATTTAGATCTTCAGGAAAAAACCTATATTAAATAATCAGTATAACCTCACCAATGTAAGACAGGTTAGACAGTTGGTTGCATTTACAAAATTGTCAATGCGTGCATAATTTTATGGCTAAATCACTGTCAATTTGTATCTTTAAAATATATCATAGAAAATATAATTGACCCCTTAAGACTCTAATTAAAACGGTAATATGTAGTACAATAAACAAGAACACAGACATAAAGCTATGACTAAGCTGCTGTGATCTGATGTGGAAAGACAGATTAAGACTAAGGCCACAAAGCTATGTATGTAAACACAGCACCTTCAACACGCCACCCTCAGCTATGGGGCATGTGTGACCTTATCTCCAGGTCATGATGAAGAAACATGGTGACCTACAGTTCAAGAAAAGTCACAGCCAGTGTGCTAATGTTGGAATGATACAAGTTACTATTTATGACCAACAAAAAGTAACTCAGATTTGAATAATTGTTTAGTTTTGCAATCAATCTCTGCAATGGCGCTTTGCTTGCA